AAAAGTGTCAAGTCATTCAATTCAATCTTTCTTGAGACATTAAATATCTCAGGTATGTCTTCACTAATTTTAGCTTTGAAAAGCTCATTGCTGCCGATGCAACAGTCACCGGCACCGTCAATAAAATCCGATAAGAGAGAATTGAATACTAAACCCTAAACTACATACAAGAAGAAAATATTACCGATGGTGTTAAGCATTTTAAGATTATCGAGATAATAACTGATTTCTCTCGATTCCCAATTAGGCGAGATGAACGGATGCCGGAAGAAATGTTTTGCCTTTCGGCTTCTCGTCGGCCAAAACGACAAAACCCTTATGAAGTATCATAATTGGGCGTTCCGCGTATGATTAATTATACGGAGTCCGGAGACGTGGAGTATTACATATATATATATATATATATATATATATATATATATATATATAATACTGCGTATATAATACGTAGTATAACATATACAATTAATTAGGGGGCTCGTACTACTAAAGATGGGCTGTGTGCATGTGCCTGAGTTTAGTCGAATACATAGAAGTTGTGACCTCCACACATGCATTGTGAATTTCGATGTTTGATCATTTAATTTGTTCAAACTTCGTACTGTTTTACATTTGAATTATATACGAAGTACATTTTTCATGACTATCTAGGCTCGGGCCCGTCCCAGATTTTAAATATTCTTTGATCGATTATTAGTGTGCGGTTCAACCGAGTATATATACGCATCGCTACATTACCGATACCATTCTAATGGAATCCGAGTTATAGAGTATAATGAATTGCCTAAACAAGCTGTTAGATAAGATCATTTTCTTTATACTAATTAAGTAAATAATTAAATACTTATTTTTGTATCCAATGTGGTTATCCATATACTAATACTGTATGCATGTATATATATGCATGCTAATACTAATTACAATCATAAGCAAATTATTAAGCAAATCAAAATCATGAGTTACCCATCTAGAAAGCCAAGTTTCTATTCATCCTCCACAGTTCTATTACTCTGTTGTTTGATAAAAAATTGATATATAAAGTAAGAGATTAAGAGCGATTAGTGTTGATCAGGTGAAAAAGAAAAATATCTTACAAAATGGGGTTGAGGGAGTAACTATTAGTGACTATAATTATGTTCAAATTTTACATCACAGTGACTTGCATTTAGTTACTACGATGTAAATTTTGAACACAACTATTATTACGAAGTACTACGTAATATTTTTGTCCATTACATTTAAAAGAGTAACATTTATGAATTTTTTTCATAAATTCTCCATCAGTAAATATGAAGTAATATTTAAAATTCAGATTATCAAAATATGTAATAAGACGAACTCAACTATATTTTTCAAAAAAAAAATAATTTTGTAATTTTTTTATGGTAAACTAATTTTGTATATTAATAAATAAATTATAGTGAAAGTAAAGCATGTGAATGATGTAAAAATTTTCAGAACTAAAAAAGAAATAGATGATAGTAAGAATTAATAAATCAGCGCATAGAACTTACCAAATTCATATTATTTGAAAGATGATGATTGCATGCGTTATCCAAATTATTTTGAGACGATTCAAAAATAAGTTATCGTACGTGATAATAATTTAAATATGCAGACCACAAAAATGTCTTTTTTATAGATGACCAAATATATTTAGGGAAAATGTACAAATATATTCATGTAGTATGATGTGAAAATAAATATACTCTCATTCTATTTTTAAGAGAAATTTACTCTTCAAGTATATGTGAAAGTGAATATATACCCTTGAACTTCAAAAAAGTGCAAAAATACCCTCCATATTCTTACAAAAGAGAATTTACCCTTATTGACTTTAAATTGATAAAATACACTTCAAAAAACACCAAAAATAAATTGTAAATTCGAAATTAAAAAATAATGTTTTAAAGAAAATGTACATGTGTCCAATTCTCCCTTGTATTGTTTGTATATCACAATTTAATATTGTTAGCATAATATATTTTTTCAAAAAATTACTATATATTTAGGATTCTTTCGAAAAAGTGTTAACATATGTATTGTAATGGCAAAAAAAATAATTTTTTGCATCCTTTGCACTATAAAATTACATATCTTGTATGATGATAAATAGTCCAAGATTACAAAATAGTGAATTTAATTTTATTAAGGTTAACCAAAATCAAAGAATGTTATTTCAAAATTTCACAACAAGACTAAAATAAAAAATAATGAATTTGAAGTGCTTCATTTACATCGGAAATATAATAATTTTTTAATTTAAAATTAAAGAGTTAATAAGAGTTAATAATGAATTCGAAGTGCTTCAATTGAAAATTTTAACATAATAATAAATCTTTATTTTTAAATTTATAATTTATAATTTACTTTTGTTGTTTTTTGAAATTTATTTTATCTATTTAAAGTCAACAAGAGTAAATTTGCTCCCTTATAAAAACATGAGAGATATTTTTGCACATTTTAAAAGTTCAGGGATATATATATACACTTCAACATATACTTCAAGGGTATATTTGTTCCGAAAAATAGAACATGAGTACATTTGTTCTCACACCCATATTCTAGGAATATATTTGTAACTTTTTCCTTTCTCTTTTCAATCACCAAACCAACATTGATAAAGTTTATGTGGATCCAAATCATTTATACTTTATTCTTAATTTATCAATTCAATATCAATCACATAAACCAGTTTTTATTGATTTGCGTGTTACTCCCTCTTGTCTCATTGTTAGTGAGACTGAGGGAGTATACCTTAATGATGGTATACCACGGAGTATAGAGGCAGTATAAAAAGGTTTAATTAATAATTAAATATGCTACTACGTATATTATATGATAGAAATAGAAAATACATGCCAAAGACTAAGAGCTCGTATGATAACACTGAAAGTGAATGAAATCGTATGCTAAAATTCATGAAATAATGTTGATTGGAGTGGTAGAATCAAGTGAAAATGGTGAGGTATGGAAAAATTATATTTAAAATATATGGAGTATTTATTAATAAAATAAAGAAAATATATATGAAAATAACTAAAATGATCTTCTACAGTTACATCAGCCATCTGAGGCAGAAAATTAACATCAACCTTATGTAATTTGATCATTACATAATTCAACACGCGAAATCAAAAGTTTCGTATTTGACATAAAAAAATTGAGTGATAAGGTTGATAAACTGAAAATATGTGTTGCCAAACATGTAATAAGATTCATTCACATATGAACACAGATAATGTGATCTGAGATATTGCCATAATAAATTCTAGGGCTGAGCACGGATCTAGGAATTCCCGTTCCGTACCGAAAAACCGTCCCGAACCGTTCCAGAACCGATAGAACCGAAAAAATGTAATACCGTACCGTACCGAGCTTTTTTAATAATATGGTGCGGTACTGGTTCTTAGTGAAAACCGTACCGGAACCGTCCCGGAACCGTACCGAACCGGACCGTCTCGTACCGTCCCGAATTGTCCCGAAAACTAGTGTTATAATATAATAATATATTATATATAATATAATAATATGTATAATATATTATATGCCGAGTATAATTATCCGTATATTACTCTTACATCTTTTTTGGGCCCAATCCATTTATAGTTGACAGAAATCGCCCCAAGGTCCTGATGGCTAATGTTGTTGCATAGAATTCTGGCAAATTTAGTCTAGCTCAAATATGGATTATTAAGTTGATTATTTTTGTCATGTAATGTGATACTTTTTGGTTTTTCAGTTTGACGATCACTTTTGCATTTTAGTTTGGATGTTACTTTTCTTTAATATAGTTTGACTATTAGTTTCATATTTCAATTTGATCACACAATATCAGTTTAATATAATCTTACAAGTTCTTCTCTTCAATTTTTGTAGAGTTATTTATAAATGTTAAAATCTAAAGTTTTTATATTTCATGGGGGTTATTTAGTTATTTAAGAACCGTACCGAACCGTACCGGACCGTACCGAAAATTGGTACGGAACGGGACAGGTTCTACATATACGCGAGACGGTACTAGTTCTTGATTTTTAAAAGAATCGTACTTTGGGACGGGACAGGTTTTTTCGAAACAACCGTCCCATACCGTCCCATGCTCACCCCTAATAAATTCATACGTACTACTATCCTCCGTTCTGTTTTAATCGCAACATGTTGAATTTTACGCTATTCACATGCTCTACTTTGACTACATTTTACGCTATTATTTTATGAAAATTATTTTTTTAAAAAAAATATTGTTCAATTCATCTCATTACAAATTTTCAAAATCTGATTTTTAATATTTTGTACTAATAGAATTAAGATATAATTACGATCAAAGACGTGCATTGACAAATGTGAAATATTGACCGTTGCTACTAAAAAAACGGAGAGAGTATATATCAAAGAAGTTTTATGGAGACTCATATGACTCTATTATGGCACAGATTAAGAAAACAAAATTGACTTCAAACTGTAGCGACACTGTTTGACACTGTAGCGACACTGTTTGGCACTGTTTGACACTATTTTGTATATACGAAGTATTTGTTTACCAAATAAGGAATGGAGACAATTATTTCAGGACGGACCGAAAAAGAAAGCAGGACAATTATTAGTCGGTCTCCTTAAAATCTTTGATTATTAGTAATAAAAATTGTGTAAAAACTTATCAAAAGAACTTTACAACGGCAGTATATACGCATGTCTACGCCACGGATACGATCATACGATTCCAAGGAATCCGAGTTATAGAGTATAATGAATTGCCTATTATGAGCTGTTCGATAAGATTTGTTTTCTTCACATTAAGTAAATAATTTAAAACTCTTATTATTTTTTCAATGTGATTATCTATTTCCTCAAATTCCATCCAATTTCTATAAGTAAATGTAAACAGAAAAGCCGTATGCATGTATATATATATATATATATATATATATATATATATATATATATATATATATATATATATATATATATATATATATATATGCATGCCAATAATTACAATCAGAAGCAACTTATTAAGCAAATCATAATCAATATCTCATCATCATGAGTTGGCCACCAAGAAAACCAAATTTCTATTCTTCCTCCATAGTTTTACTACTCTGCTTTGCGATAACAATTACAGATCTCCAAGGTGTTAGTGCTCGCAACAAAAAGAAGGTTGTGAGGATTGTTGATATGATCCCAACATACAATCCTGTCCAACCCCCAAGAATCTTGTATCTTCATTGTCAATCTCATTCTGATGATTTAGGGGTGTGGGATTTGACAGAAAACAAAGGCTATCAGTTCTATTTCCGCACCAACTTTTGGGGGACTACTCTGTTTTGGTGTACTTTTACTTGGGGCAAAAAGGATCAAAGCATTGCTGTATATGATGACAAAGATTCTTCATGTGATGGTGAAAGGTACTGCAATTGGCATCTCAAGACTGATGGATTGTATTTCGCGAAAGGGGAATTTCCTAGCGAGTCAGATTTCACAAAGAAGGCTGATTGGAAAGATATATAGCTAAGTGGAGAAAATTGTCTCTCATCAAGATACTATGTAGTCATGTATTCATTCTATAATAATCCCATAATAATCACAAAACTGTACCGAGTGTAGACATCTAAAAGTGAGAATGCTTATTTGTCTCACATCGGAAATTAATACTACGTAAAATAATAAAACACTACATAAAACTTTGAACTACTCCTCGTATCAGGTTGACCTTTTAGGATGGAACCTGAGTCTTAACATTGCATCAGAGCCAAGTCCGGTTGTTGTTTGATGACTTGTTTAGCACTCATAATAAAGTGCTAAAATATTGAACGTGTTAAAATATTTGTCCCACATTGAAAAGCAATAAACCAATAAAATACAATATAAGATTTTGAGTTACTCCTACTATTAGATTGACATTTCATATTTGAGTCTCGGGTCGCAATACACAAAAAAGTTTGATTGTTTGCATTTGGTGTAAATAATGTCTATTTGATCAAATGAGAATAATTTTATATATCTTTGAATTGATAAGATTGGGATATATGATGAAATAAGAATGTCATTTTATCGATAAACGAGATTGATCGAATCTAGTGCTTTAATTTGACTTCATATACAAGGGCAAATGATAATAAAATACTATGTACATAAAACAGTGGAGCATTTTTGTAAGTAGGTTGAAGAACTTTTGCTCGCAAAGTGACTACTATTCAAGAAAATGTTTACATTGTTATGTAATTACATAGATAAGATGCCTCTATTCTAAGATGCCTATGGTTTACGTAAGTTAGTTTTCTTTGATAGATAAGGATGTCTAACTTACTTATTACTAAGGTGTTAATGGGCCGAAATACACTTGTATCCCTTATAAAACATATAACCAATAACAACATAATTATAGAAAAATGAAACATGATTGGACACCATAAAATGTCCCAACATGCACTACAAGAAAATGGGTCATTTGTGAAGGGAAATGTAGTCACAAAAGCTAAATAAATGGTCGCTAATGATTATTTGCGACCAAAAAAATGTAGTCACATGTTCGTCCCTATTGACTTAGCCGCAAAAGCCAATTTGCGACTGAAATAAAGACCCTGTCGTTAATACTTTTTGAGACCAGCAAGAATATGGACGTTATTGTTACTATTGGAGGCTGCTATTGAAGAGAAATTGCGACCAATATCCCCTTCCCTAAAGTAAACGTATGCAATAAGTACTACAAACTAAATTTGTAGCTGCACTTTTACGATAACTTTCCATTCACTACACATTGATTGTATTTAATTGTTCAATAATTAATATATTATTCGAATCGCTCATAAAATAAAGGCAATGAATAACTTGGAGAAAGCTGAAATGAACTTTAAAATATAATCACAAATCTTTGAGTTCATAACTAATCACTAAAATTTACTCCATACATCATTTTTAATTCCTCATGCACGTTGCTACAAGTGTGGTAGAATGACCAAGTGCTTCATTCTAAGCACGCGACTTGATTGATATTTGTGTTCCTGAGGTTGGTCTTCGTTTCCATAGCCTACATCTCTCAAGTCTTTTGAGGATTTGCAATAGGAAAATTCTTTATGCATTCAACATTCATCTATATATTCTTTTTCAGCTTCATGTACATTGTAATCATCCCATATCATGTCACGAGCTTCATCCTGAAAAATGATCAACGAGTTTAATAAATAGCAAAATGTACTCGAGTGGAAAATTAAGATATTAAAGCAGATACGAACATATTAAAGCAGTCCCTCTCAGAGTCTCAGTTCCCCCATGTTGTAAAAAGCTTGCAAGCCAACCCCTAACATTTGCCTCGTTCAGATCTTCTAGACCTTTCTCCAAAACACACATTCCTTCACCCCGTAACTTCTGCCCAATTTCAGTTGCCCATTTCAATTCTGTATCCGCGCGCGCGCGCGCACACACACACACACATATATATATATATATATATATATATATATATATATATATATATATATATATATATATATATATTCCGGATCAAATAAAAACCTTTATTCCCATGAAAACTACAAAAACATCAAGAAATAGTGAAGAATTCCAAAACTGGTCAATAAATTTAAAATTCACATTGATCACTTCAAGGCATATATCAGGTATATATATCTACACTCAAAAGTTAACATTTACTTACGGAATAACATTTGGTGTATTTGAATTAGGCCCAATGTGCAAAACTAAGACAACTTGATTGTTTAGTAACTAAAAGTTCTCCTAAGATAATAAAAGGATAGAAGTAAAATACCAAGTAAATTTCCTTTTGTGTATTGGTAATATCAATATTATAAAAGTTTTTTTAGAATCCATAGAAGGCTTAACAAATTGTCTAAATTGAAAGTAAATGAATACTTTTACAAAAAAAAATCAGCACAATTCATGATTAAATAATACAACACTCTGAGAAATAGGATGTGAATCAACTTAAACATTTCTGAATCAAACCTATAACTAAGAATTGAGTGATATATATAATGACATTACTTTAACAACCTATTATCTTATGACACATAATGACTTTAAAAATGCCAAATTAGATTAAGGGGCTTGATGACTTCGTAACACCAAGTTATCTTGATGAGCTAAGGACATGTTAATAATGATAGCCTCGCTTTGTAGAAGAATGCACTTTTGAAGAAACATATTGTTGAGTTTAAGTCCCGCAGATCCGAAAGCCCAACACGAACTTTGGATATATCAGGAATGGATCAGAATCAAAGTGTATAACAAAATATAAAAGATGAATCAACGAATGCTCAAAAGCCCATTTGTATTAATTAACCTGTTTGCTTACAAGGAAACTTCCCGATCGGTACGTCGGAACTGTGCTTTAATACAAGAAACGAGAGTAATAATGTTATTCTAGAGCTTGAGTATCAAAATGTTAACCCTTACAATGATATTAAACCTTCTATTTATACTAATGGAGAGCATGGGCTGCTCTATGCTGATTGGCCGTTGTTCCACCGACTTGATCACCCATGCTTCCACTTGCTGATGTCACAATCTGGCATTAAATGCACCTGGCCACTTGCTGGTTGTCCGTTGCTCGAACGGGATGTTGGACCATGCGGAAGACGCTGTCAAATTGGCCCAAGTATGATATATGATCCGAACTCCGTTCGGTATTTCTGCTTTCTGGGCCGGCCTCTACTTGGACCGAACCTCGTTCGATATGGATTCTTTACTAGGCCTACTCATCATAGGGTAATGGACTCGTTGTTTGGGCTGGATATCCTGGGCATTTTTAATCCGGGTATTGGGCCTCCGGGTCAATATCCCAACACAAGTCCCCCACTTCCGATGTCTTGAATGACAGTGAGTGCATTAGGAAGTATAAACATCAATGTTGCAACTACCGAATGACGATCGGGGTACAGAAGTGGTCAGTTCCCTATACTGTGATTTGACGGCTGTCATTTTAGTTTCCCCATATTCGTCATGATTGTTGATCTTTGCTCTTTCATGTGACACGTATTATTTCAAATAATCTCAGTGACGTGTCTCTATTTGATTGGTCTTTGATACAACGTCTGTAAGGCTATAAATTAGCCTTTAACTTCTCAAATCTGGGTTTCGAATTTTCAATCTCATTCGTGCTTTTACTCTGCCTCTTCTTCTCCAATCTTTCAAGTTTTTCGTGCTCAGGCACTTCTCATTCCTTTGAATCTTTCTCTCCTTTGGTTCGATCGTTATAAATTCTCAACGGTGTTCCGATTCGGAAATGGCTTCCCAAGGGGAAGACCGTGAAGTGGAGATTATCACCGTCCCTTTTGATGAGGGCTCCAAGGTGGCGACGGCGGAGATTAGGGCGGAGACGAATGATTCCTCCTGCAGTTCTTCTTCCTCCAGTGAAGATTCCGATGACACCAAGTCTGAAGATGAGCTAACTTCCATGGCGGCCGGACGTCCCAACGATTTCCTCCGTCATACGCTTGACCTAAGATTGATTAGGGAGAGGCGGCAAAAACTGACTTCCCATAATAGGGTCGAAATTCCGGCCCTAATCCCAGATCCAGTGAACTTCCGATTGCGAGCTGGGTTTCACCCAATGCGCCATACTCCTAAGATGGTTGTAGTCCATTTTGATTCAATTAGGGTCGGGCTTAGGTTTCCGCTACATTCGTTTTTCGTTTCATTTTTTAATTTCTACGAAATTGTACCGGCCCAAATCATGTCGAACTCCTACCGGGCAATGGCGGGCTTTATTTGCCGTTGTAAAGATGCCGGTGCCCGGCCGACCCTAGATTTATTTCACCAATTTTTTAAGGTAGCCCCTCAACAAACACACGGCTATTTGGCCACTAGTGTCCGAACGGGACATATCCTGTTTAAGGGCAATCCGACTTCAATCAAGGGGTGGAAAGATCGGTTCTTCTTTGTGTCTGTCTCGGACGGCCTGATTCCCCGCAAATGGAATGCCTTCCCCCGTAAATCTCCTGATCCAGTCCTTACTGAGGAAATTTACAAGGATGTGTTCACTGTGGAGAAAGACAAATGCATAGATATCATGAGTTACCTGACTCCCGATCGGCTAATCGAAGCCGGGATAGGTACTGCCCGTTCTCTTGGGTTTACTTGTTTTGAGAAATCAAGTGCCATGGTCCGGGCGGTCCTTCCCGTGCGAGAAACGTTCTCTTCTTTTTTGTTTCCCACGTGCTAAGGTCCGCTCGGTACTAACATTTTCCTTTGTTATTTTTTATCTCTCAATCCAGATGCACCTATGGACAATAGTAGAGTTCTTGTAGCTGGTGGGGTCGGCAAATGGAAGAAAGCCAGGAAGAACCCCCAACCCACTCCTTCCACTATTACCGCTCAGGATGTCGGGTCTTCTCAACCCGTTCCAGAGCCACAACCACTGCAACAGGTCCATCAGGACCAATTTGATGCCATGCTGGTCGACGATCGGTTCGGTTCTGATTAGATGCATCAATTCCCTGAGCACTTCCAGGCTGCTCAGGAGACTGGTCAGGGTACGGGTGATATGCATACCGTCCATCTATCTGGCCAGGTTGACCGGATCTCACTGGCGGATCCAGTTCATGAAGTTGTAGAGAAAAGTGGATGCTCGGCAAGTCAGATTTGGTCTACCTCCGCATCTTTCAACAATTTCACTGTTCCTAAGCTGTCGAGCAATCTGAGGAATGCTTGGC